CTCATTGCAGTGGCTTCTCTTGTTGTGGAGCACGGGCTCCAGTAGTTGTGGCTCCCAGGCTTTAGAGCACAGGCTCAGTAGTTGTGGCACATGGGCTTAGTTGCTCCACAGCATGTGGGATCTTCCCGGACAAGGGCTCAAACCGGTGTTGCCTGCATTGGCAGGCAGATTCTTAACTACTGCGCCACCAGGGAAGCCCCCAGGAATTTAATGATTTTTGACTTTGAGTTAGTGACTTAATATACACCATTATCAGGTTACTTAACAATGTGAAAGTTAACAAAAAACTGGCTCATCAGTGTTTAGGGTAAAACCACTGCTGCATTTGTCTCTTACTCCAAGATCTACTCCTTTTATTCCATTGCTCTATAGTCTAAGAAAAAAACATTCCCACCTCCAACATAAAAGTTAACAAGAAAACTGGACTTAAAATATGCTTTTTTAGGGACTTCCCTGAGGCATCAGGGTAAGGGTGCTTCAGGAATTGAAAAAGTAATAGGCTAGGAGACTGGAGCTGGGGCAGAGAATAGAAACCCAGTTCAACAGAAGGAAAACATAAGAACAGAAAAGATTCTGCCTCCTCTTGGACAAAATATTCCACATAATCCAGGGGCCAATGGACAGGAACTGGAAAGCCATGTTATAATGCCCTTAAGTTATCAATTTTTCATCTGCATTGGCAGTAACTTTAATTGCTATAATTATAAACAACCTTTTATAAAAATTATTTTAGCAATAAATTTTGATTGTCAAGATTTAAATCCTAGTCAGAGACTTTTAAAGATTATTCCATTGCAGACAAGCACCCATCTGTTTTGCATTTTAGTACTAACTTTTTTAGCCTCACACTCATTTCACTAAGAACTTTCTGGGGGTGGTGACAGTAGTGATTATTATTATTTTGACAAAAGTACAGTATACACTAGGACAGCTGTAATTTATTTCAATATCTCTTTGCAAATAAATTAATCAGCACAATTCCCTCAGTCTTCAAAGCAACTGTAAGGAAAGTACCATTTTTTTCTCCCATCTATTGCTGCATGCTTTTATTTGGTTACAATTTTCTCACTACCTATCTCTTTACCATCGGCAACCCAACTTCTGGTCTCACTATTTCACCAAACTTGCTCTCCTTAAAGCTTTCTTCAGAGCCTTCTAGAACCATCACTTCCTCTGACATTTATGACCACACTCTCATACTTGAATGGCACTGAAAGCTCATATTCCATGGCAACATTCGCTCATAGTCTAATGAGAGAAAAAGGCACCTACTAAAAACAAAGACCAGGAGTGGAAAATACATATGAATGAGCTTAGTTTCAAGTGCTCAGAAGCAGAGCTGAGTCACAGCAGGTACTCAGTTGAGAAGAATTTTTATTTTAAACTGAAAAGTCTTAGAAGTTATTTAAGCCAATGCCCTCATTTTATAGCTGAAGTACGGAAAGTGTGTCAGTTAGGATGACTTTGGTTGCTAGTAGTAGACAAGAGCAAGTCAATTTGACTTAATAAGGAAACATACTCTTCTACATAATACGAGGTCCAGACACCTCACTGTAACCCACTGCTGCTCTTGCCCGTAGCACCCTTGGCCACACCACCTTCAGTGTGTTACCTTCAACTTCTGGTTGCGAGCAACAAGGTCTGTCGCAGTTTCAGGATATACATCAGAGAAGCTGGGGGAGAAGTGTAAGAGGAAAGGGAAAGTGTGTCTCTTCCTTGAATCTCTTCTCAAAAGCAAAGAAACTTGACCAAGAAACCCTAAGAAGACTTTTCTTTTGCCTCCCCATTTCTAAAGCAACCACTGGCAAGGAAATGGGATTCCAAGACTGGTTTGGTTTAAGCCTTGGACTAAGCTTAGGGTAGAAAGAATGCTGAGGCATCAAGGTTAAATAAATTGGCCGTAATCAAAATATTATTTGTAGGACTTCCCTGGTGGCACAGTGGTTAAGAATCCGCCTGTCAGTGCAGGAGACACGGGTTCGAGCCCTGGCCCGGGAAGATCCCACATGCCATGGAGCAACTAAGCCCATGTGCCACAACTACTGAGCCTGTCCTCTAGCGCCCACAAGCTACAACTACTGAGCCCGTGTGCCACAACTACTGAAGCCCGTGCACCTAGAGCCCATGCTCCGCAACAAGAGAAGCCACCACAATGAGAAGCCCACGCACCGCAAGGAAGAGTAGCCCCCGCTCACCACAACTAGAGAAAGCCCGCGCGCAGCAACTAAGACCCAACACAGGGCTTCCCTGGTGGCGCAGTGGTTGAGAGTCCGCCTGCCAATACAGGGGACACGGGCTCGTGCCCCAGTCCGGGAAGATCCCACATGCCGCGGAGCGGCTGGGCCCGTGAGCCATGGCCGCTGAGCCTGCGCGTCCGGAGCCTGTGCTCTGCAATGGGGGAGGCCACAACAGTGAGAGGTCCACGTACCGCAAAAAAAAAAAAAAAGATGGATTCAACTCTTCTCTCTTTTGCCACCTTCTCTGGGGAGCTCGCATGTTCCTTTTGTAACTATCTTAGGCTTCTGTGGAGGTGGCATAGGGTAACAGTAAGCACTGACTTTACAGCCAAACTGCCGGGGTTCAAATATAGGCCCCCATCACTTGTATGTGTCATGTTACTTAACCTCATTCCTCATCTATAAAAGGGGAGGATAGTAGAACTCACCTCATAGAGATGTTGTGAGCATTAAATAAGTTACTATACATAAAGTGCTCAGAACCATGCCTGTTACACAGTAAGTCCTCTTTAAGTGTGTGCTGTTATTATTAAGGGGCATCTACTGTTTCTGCCTGCCCAGTATCCTTTTCCCTTTCTTCTGATAAATGTTTCAGTTTCCCTTTGGAGAACCACCCCTCTGCCATGCCATCCGATCCTCACACAACTCTCAGTCAGTATGAACTGCTCCCGACCCCCATTGGGCAAAGGGTGACCACAAGGCCCAAGGTAGGCCAATCTTGCCTTTTCCCCTGGAATCTGACTCATAAGCAGAATGACTCAAGACAGAAAGCAGTTAAAATTCAGTCTCTCTGGTGTCAGTGCCTTGAAGAGCTTTTCCTGAGTTCTTGCCCCCTAGGCCCCTGGAACTGTATAGTCCTTTACAAAATTTGATTAACAGTTCTTCCTTTGATTCTATTAGCTTTCCAATCCCCTTTAATACATCCCCTTTTTGCTGAAATTAGCCAAAACTGATTTCTGTTGTTTGTGTAACCATTATGTTGAACAAATAGGCCTCCCCAAATTAAATCATGAAGTAACCTTATTTTTCTCTCTCATGTCTCTTTATAGCTATTCATGAGCCTAGCTTCTCTGGCCCCTGCATACACAGCGTATAAGTTAAGACAGTGGCTCAGAAATCAAACATTCTGGGCTCAAATTCTAACTCCAAGCCCTGCTAGCTATGTTACTTAATGTCTTTCTGCCTCAGCTTCCTTATCTGTAAAATGGAATAAAGACACCTATCTCATTGGGTTATTTTAAAACTTAAATGACTTCCCAAATGTAAAATGCCTAGAAGTGTGCTTGGCACACAGTAAGTCCTGAAAAATGTTATAGAGCTGATGGCAGTGGTGTCCAGTGAGATGTCCTTTTTCCTCACAACCTATCACATTAGGGCCTGACCATTCTTGTTTCCACACCTATGCTCATGCTAGCCCTCTTTCCTTTTCTAAATCCTTCAAGACATAATTGAATCAAGCACCACCATTTCCACAAAGCCCACACTGATCTACAAAGACCACATTAACCTGTTACTTCACTTACAGGAATTATCATCTGTAGTAGACACATGAGTCTTGATTTCATATCATTCTACTGTTTTTTAATTGTACCTGTATCTAAATCATGACTAGAATAAGAAAAGTGTTCCTTGAAGGCAAGAATGACATTTTATATTATTCTATGTCCTTCATATTACTTACTCCAGAGTAAGGCTCATAGTAAGTCCTTAATAATTAACTTTTGAATGGCTCTCTGAGCAGCTAAAAATATTTCCAACCATAATTACTTCTGGGTTTGCATAGCTTCAAGCCCTTAGGCCTATGTTTTAGTATATATGTTGCCAAAGTGAGCACAGGGCCTTTGCTTTTATTGTGTGCATAAGCATACAAAAAAGACAGGGTACAGAACTTTCTTTTATCTTCCCACACTGGCCCATACACACTGGGCATCCAGTAAATGTCATTAACTAACTACAAAAAAGCTGAAAACTTCAGGAGCTGGAAATTCATTCCAAATATGATAGGAAATTCCAAATGTATCTGTTACTGTTAAGATTGGAAACTATAAGGCTGAAAGGCCCTGTTTTGTTTAAAACTTTAAAACTTGGAGATAAGGGAAACAGATACTCACACATTTTTTCTCTTCTAATATTTTTTTTTTTCTCAAGAACTGTTGATGAAGGACAAAGTAGAAAAGGTAACTATTGTTCTTTCTATTGTCATGTTTCTGAAGAAATATTCTTTTACTTTTGGAACTCTGCATAACATAAAGTACCCCATCTTCTTTCTCTGGTTTCTCTAACCATGTGAAAAAGTATACGTAGAAATAAAAACATTTCACACTGATGCCCAAGAGTATATCATTTACATATAAAAAGATGGCACTGTTTCAGAGCTATGTGGGCAGTATTTTAGTCATGTGGAAAAGGCAACTGGGAAAGAGAAACTGAGTAAGCCTAGCCTCAACTCCATGTGAAGCTGTCTGTGGGTGCATACATTGACTCACTTAGCTGACCCTGGGAACAAGTTTATATTACATCCAAATGACACCTCTATAAAATTCCATACTTTTTGGCTTACATTGTTTAATGAATATGGTTATTTCAAAGTTAAGAAAAAATTCTTTTTTCTAAATGCTATCCACTTGGTTGAATTCATTTCTGGTTGAAATGAATTTTTCAACCAGACTGATTCTTCATTGTTTCCTTTCTACAGGAACAATCTACAAGAGAAAGAAAAGGGAAGAGAAAGAAAAGGATGAGAGAAAAAACTACACATCTTACTTGGACTGTGCGAGACAGCCGGGTGCAACCATATTCTGATTCTCCTCCTCGGCCTGGAGTGCAGTGAGTTCCACCATGTTAACCATCACATCATTGGTGTGGCCCGGAAGCTGGGGAAGCACTGAAAGGATCTTCTCCACCAAGTTGTCTCCATGATGTCCAACAGCCCCTGTTTAAGCAGACACGAAAATATGAACTCACAAAATGGGAGGAAAAAGCAGCTAAATTAATGTTCTATAATACCCCTTCTATCAAAAACAGTATCCATTTTTAGCTTCTGTTACACAAATCAATAACATAAACCTAACATTCTGCCCTTAGTAACACTAATCAATCTCACAACTACCTACAAAATGTATGTCTTGTGTGTTGGACTTAATGGTCCCTGAGAGCAGGCACTGTGTCTGCTCTGGTTACTGCTATAATTCCCAGCACCTAGCATAGTGCCTACACATGGTAGGCATTAATAGGTATTTAGTGGATAAATAAATAATAAACATTTGGAAGGTCAGGTAAATGGCGTGATAGGATGACACTATCCTGAAAGTTTAGAGCCAAAAGGATTTTCTTTATTTTACTGATGAAGACCTTAAGACCCAGAAAGGCTTAGAGACCTGACCAAGAATAGCAGATCTCCCCTTTGCTAGAAGTTTATCTTCATCATGGCAACCATTTATCTAGTTCACCCTCTACCCACCATGTCTAGCAGGCAACTTGGCAGCTAGTAGGCTCACTAATTATTTGTTAATGAAGGAAAGAACAAATGAATGAATAGTAACAGTTTGCAGTGATAAAAGCATTTATACAGTGCTTTCTGTGTACCAGGCACTGCTCTAGGTGCTTTACATATATTAATTCTTTTAATAACAAATGAATTAATAAGCTCAAATTAAAATTCAAGACCAATGACACAGTTTAATGCTTTTTCCATGAGACCCAGTTATCTTTCCAAAAGCCATCAATGCTTGTAAGACATGATTCCAACAATGGGTGGGACTGGCCAAATCAACTTGTTTTGATCCCACCCACTTCAAATCAATTAATATTTTACTTCCTAATGTCTATCTCTATTGTTTTTGCCATGTCATATTAATTGCACAGAAGAACTAGGTAGAAAAGACTAAACCAGAAATCCAAGGAATCACTGTCAGCACCATCTTCTTCGTCACAATAGCTAATATTTATTGAGAGCTTATGACGTACCAGGTATTAACTTCCATACTGTACATTTATTATCCACTTAATTCTTAGAACAACTCTAATAGGTAGGTATTATTATGCTCATTGACAGAGTAGAAGATTCAGTTTAAGTAACTTGCTCACAATTATATATGCTGTAAATTACAGAGCAAGAATTCAAACTCACGAGGCAGAACTCCAAAAACCACGCCATTAAAAAAAAACAAAAAAAAAACAGGCCCATAAAAATGACTTAAGACAGAACCAGCATGAGTGCTTCTAATGTGGCTTCCGATGCTAAAGAAAAGAGTTCTAATTCTACCAGTAAAATATTCACTTATTAGGCCTGGAAGGAACCATGTCTTATTTCTGTTGTCTATAGTTTATGGTTGTCTCCCCAGCACTCACACTACAAGCTACTCGTTAAATACTTGCTGAATGAATGCCTAGTGACTATAAGTGGCCCTGAGATCCACAGGGCAGTCAGAAGTCTCTAAGTGGATAATATCTTTAAGCCTGGAAAGAATGGAGATACGACGATTACCCCATAGCATCATTTCTCTCTCCACTAGTAACCTCCTCACTTATTTGAAAACTTCCACTCATCACTACAATAACTCTTCTTTGGACCTGGTGCCCAAATTCTGAGCCCTGCCCCTAAGCTATTCTTATTTTTATTTGCCATTCACAGACACATGGTACAGACAAGTAGTCTATATGTTCTGCCTTTCTTTCCTAACTTCTTTAGCCCCTACAATCTAGCTGTTACTCACTCTTCCTCCCTATGCTAAATGCAGGGGTCTTTGGCAAGTCTCAGTTCATTAAACCTTTGGCAAATTAAAACTGTTGACTAATCCAGTCCTCCTGAAACTCTCCAAATATGAGAAGTCAAGACATGACATACTTATTTTTCCTTAAGGTTTAATAGCTAATAGTTATTTTTACAGAACCAATGTATCACTTACAACCTTAAAATATTACATACTAACACCCTAAATGTTCAGAAGTAGAGGAGTAGTTTTTTAAAATTATGGCATATTTACTGAAGCAGTTCTCAAATTGTGATTTTTATTTTCTCCTATTTATTTATAGATTCTAAACTTTCTATGGTGAACATATATTCCCGTTGTAATGAAATGAAAAAACATGCTATACACACATATAAATATCCCAAAATTTTACCAAGGGTTATCTTTGAATGGTAGGACTTCGGTTGATGTAAACTCTACCTAAAATTAATTTTTCCCCTGTGTTTTCTGCAAGGAGCACATGAGACTGACCTAAATTAATTGGAAAAATAATTTACACTCTTTCAGAAACTGTTGAAAATATTATATATGAGAATTAACAAAATGCCAAATTTACATGAGCAGGATTACTCAACTTTTTAGGTTTAGTCAAAAGGAATGTGTATTTAACATGTATGATAATGAAGGATAAAGCAGGTATAGGCTTTCAACTCATGTCCTGCTCTTCTCTGAATACAGTTTGTTGCATGTCCAGCTTTAGAGGGTTCAATATACATTTTAAAAATTTAATTAGTGCCTGTTACATGACTCAAACATAGACTAAGCATTTGGGGCCTCTCAATGTCACAGTAACTTCAGATTCTTCCTCTATGAAATGAATAAAATGCCAAGATTTGTATCACACTTAAATTTTCAGAGAGCTTAATTTTTCCGTTATTATAGAAATTTTAAAGTATTATTTAAGACGCTGAAGAGTGGAAGTCAAGCTGAACCCAGTTGTTTTTCCCTGTCCAACTGTTAATCTAGCCAAGAGCAACGGGGTCTAGTCTGGCCAGAGAATGGTTTATTTCCCAATGCCTTCTTTTCTAAAGAGGGTATAGGAACAAGAAATTGGATACATGGGCTCTAGTGGTCCCATCCTCCATTAGCTCCTTGTGTGATCTGAGGCAACTTCCAAAAATGTGGTGCTATTTTCCCAAGCTAAAAACTCAGAGTTGGTCCAACCAACACCTAAATATCTTTGAAGCTCAGTATTTGAGATCCTAAATTCAGTCAATTGTTTCAAAGGCTAAACTTTTATAGTTAACAGCACCGGAAAAATAGCAATCCTGTATGACCCTGTGGATCATATGTGAATGTATGTGCCAGTATCACCATCATAAGGCATATAACATCTACACTTGCCTCTACTTATAAGGAATAAAGTGAGAAGCAAGAATTGAGGCATCTTCACAAGAGCTCAGTCATACTGTAGTAGGGCTTAAAGATAAAAACACAAGAGCCTTCTCTACATTTCACAAACAGGATATTTTGGGATTATGCACAGTGTCCCTTTGTGTTGAGATAGGGTTACTGGATTCTTGGAATTAGTATATTCAAAAACTCACCTCCTGGGGCTTCCCTGGTGGCGCAGTGGTTAAGAATCCGCCTGCCAGTGCAGCGGACGTGGGTTCGAGCCCTGGTCCAGGAAGATCCCACATGCCGTGGAGCAACTAAGCCCGTGCACCACAACTACTGAGCCTGCGCTCTAGAGCCCGCGAGCCACAACTACTGAAGCCCCGCACGCCTAGAGCCTGTGCTCTGCAACAAGAGAAGCCACCGCAATGAGAAGCCCGCACACTGCAACGAAGAGTAGCCCCAGCTTGCTACAACTAGAGAAAGCCACGGGCAGCAACAAAGACCCAACACAGCCAAAAATAAAAATTAATTAATTTTAAAAAAACTACACAATACACAAATCTTAAAAAAAAAAAACCTCACCTCCTTTCTGATTCCCCATGACTCTTTCTTAAGAATATTTGAGCGTCTTTCATTATTTTGAGATGTTTCAGTATCTGATGACGTTTCTGTCTTCTAAGAACAGAATATTTTATTATCGCTCCTGATGTTTCCTTCTATGTAGAAGGACAACAATTAGCATAACATTTCTGAACTTGCCTCACCTCCTTCAATCAATCCCTTTTCCCCTGGGTTGTCAGGTTCTACTCATTCCGCCTAGGATAGGTTCTGCCCTTGGAAAGAGGGAAATAGACTTTCTCTGGTCCACTCCTGATGCTGAGTGGGTAAACCTTCCAACCCAAGAATTTGGTGTTAGGAATCTCGCTTGCCCATAGATGTAAGCCACATTCTTTAAGGTTCACTGTATCCACCATAAAACTGGTATTTTGGCCTCTGCCTGCCAGCTCTTTATTCCATATTCAATTTAGAATCTGGATGGTTAAAGGAGTGTTAGTTATTAGTTACTCTTTAATACTACCATTTCTAACACTACCTATGGTTGGCTCATATCAGTCAAATCTAGTACAAAGGGGATGTATTAAGGTAGATAATACATACTAGTCAAAAGGCTGTTTCAGTTTGCCATATACCAGGTAGGACTTTGGGGGGATGGAGGCAGGAGAATAATAAGGCAGTACTTATATAGGTTTATTCAGTAAGTAGTTTTCACCACACAGTAATTTTAGATAAAAGTCACATAGCATTCATTATACTGTCCCTAACTTAAATCTTCTCCTACACTCCCTCTTTCTGTGAATGGATTCTGAAATTGCCCAGGCTAGAATACTTGGCATGTCTTCAAATTCTTCTTAACCTTCTACCATTATATCAGTCACCACTCTATTAATTCTCTCACTTAAATACTCAACTACTCCTTTCTTCATCCTTCCTAGTACTGACTTGGTATAAATTCACATCATTTCTTACCTAGATATTTTAATAGTCTCCTGATCAATAGTCTCCTAGCTGCCAGTATTTCTTGCTTTTATCTCAAGGAGCCCACTGCTCCTAGGCTGGGCTCCTCTATGGGTGCATGGGAGGGTTGAATTTTATGAGAAATATTTTAAGTTTATGCTTTTATCTAGATAATCCACAACTTTGACCAGTTGCTCAAAAAAAAAGTTGGTTAATTTCAAAACAGTTAAGAATCACTGGAAAAATAAAAAAAAAAAGAATCACTGCACACCACACAGTATAAGTTAGCTGAGCCGACAGCTATCAATGTTATTCCTCTCTACACACT